TTTCTTGGCAGGCTTTATTTGGGAGCTGAAGGTTAAAATAATGACTTGCCGCAAATCACCCAGCAGGTGGCACAATGGATTAAACACTTGTACCAGCAGGACTGCTGACTGAAAGGTTGGCATTTGGAATCTGGGAAGTGGGGTGAGCTCCTGTCTGTCAGCTCCAGCTTCCCATGCAGGAACATTAAAAGAAGCCTCCCACAGGTTGGTAAAACATCCGGGTGTCACCTGGGCAACGTCCTTGCAGATGGCCAATTTCCTCACACCAGAAGCTACTTGCAGCTCGACACAAAAAAACAAAAACAAAAACAAAAACAAAAAAAATACCAGGCAGGTTTTCATAGCAAGTGTGGGTTCAAACCCTGATCTCCCGAGACCAACACTTAAACTACTGCACCACATCAACTGTGCTGGTGCACCATAATAATCAATTATTGTGCAATTATGGTGCAAACCATTTTGCAACTTTTCTTTCACTCACATGCATGACATTAGTTGTTGCCTCTCTTACATGTAGACTCTTGTTTTACCCAAGCATCCCCACCTTTGCTAAAGTAGCTAGTGTTTATGGTGTGAATGGAGAGGAAGTAATATAGGCAAACTGTGTGGAATGCCCATAATAAAACAGGTGCTGTTTCACTCCCATAAATATCTGAAGGTCAACCTGGCTGGTTATGGCTTAAGTAAGCCATGGGAACAACAGACACGTTGATCCTGACTTACGGATCAAGTGTGAAGAAAACAATTTATTTTCTTCACTCATATGACCACATTTGGAACATCTGCAGCAGGGTTTTTAATATTTTGATTAAATACAACATCATTCCACAAAGACAGTTGCTGATCAGCCTTCCAGCCTACTCAGTATTACCATCACTGCAAAATGTCATTACTATAATCTATTTTATGATGTCAATACACAAAATTCAGGTATTCTCATGAATATACTAACCCTGTCACAAGAATAGGATCAATTCCCCACTGGGAGATAAGGTGGGATATAAATAAAGGTTTTATTATTTATTATTATTATAATTTATTTACTTTGCTTATATACCGCTGTATCTCAAGCCCGAAGGCGACTCACGGCGGTTCACAAACAGTAAAAACAGTAGAAACAGCAGTGGTTCCATACAACATATAACAATTGACTTAACACATTATCCATAAATTACCAATAAGGAATTACAATGCACAATTATTACAAAAAACAACCGTACCCAATCTTCTCATCATCCAAGTGTAGTCCAGGTTCGTCGTCCATTGTTCCATTCCTATGTTCCATTACCAGATTGCACTAAATTACTCAAACGCCTGCACAAACATCCAGGTCTTCACCTTTTTGCGGAATACCATTAGAGATGGTGCTAGTCTAATGTCCGTAGGAAGGGCGTTCCACAGCCGAGGAGCCACCACCGAGAAGGCCCTATCTCTCGTCCCCACCAGCCGAGCTTGAGAAGCAGGCGGGATCGAGAGCAGGGTCTCCCCGGAAGATCTCAAAGTCCTGGTGGGTTCATAGGCAGAGATGCGGTCAGATAGGTATCTTGGGCCGGAACCGTTTAGGGCTTTAAAGGCCAACGCCAGCACTTTGAATTGAGCCCGGTAGCAAATCGGTAGCCAGTGGAGTTGGCGCAACAGGGGGGTTGTATGCTCCCTGCGCTCCGCTCCTGTTAAAATCATGGCTGCCGAGCGTTGGACTAGTTGGAGCTTCCGAGCTGTCTTCAAAGGCAACCCCACGTAGAGAGCGTTGCAGTAGTCTAAACGGGATGTAACCAGAGCGTGGACTACCATGGCCAAGTCAGACTTCCCAAGGTACGGGCGCAGCTGGCGCACAAGCTTTAGCTGTGCAAATGCTCCCCTGGTCACCGCCGAAACCTGGGGTTCCAGGCTCAGCGATGAGTCCAGGGTCACACCCAAGCTGCGAACCTGCGTCTTCAGGGGGAGTGCGGCCCCATCCAACACAGGCTGTAACCCTATGCCCTGTTCGGCCTTGCGACTGACCAGGAGTACCTCTGTCTTGTCTGGATTCAATTTCAATTTGTTCGCCCCCATCCAGACCGTCACAGCGGCCAAGCACCGGTTCAGGACCTCGACAGCCTCCTTAGTAACAGGTGGAAAGGAGTGACAGAGTTGGACATCATCCGCGTACAGATGACACCGTACCCCGAAACTCCGGATGATCTCCCCCAGCGACTTCATGTAGATGTTAAACAACATGGGGGACAATATTGAGCCATGAGGAACCCCACAAGACAATGGTTGTGGGGTTGAACAGGTGTCCCCCAACTAACACCTTCTGAGATCGACCCTCCAGGAATGACCGGAGCCACTGCAAAACAGTACCTCCAAGACCCATCCCTGCGAGGCGTCCCAGAAGGATACCGTGGTCGACGGTATCGAAGGCCGCTGAGAGGTCCAGCAGCACCAACAGGGACACACTCCCCCTGTCGAGCTCCCGGCGCAGATCATCCACTAAGGCGACCAAGGCTGTCTCGGTACCATGTCCCGGTCTGAAACCAGACTGCGACGGATCCAGATAATCAGTTTCGTCCAAGAATCCCTGGAGCTGTGAGGCAACCACACGTTCCAAGACTTTGCCCCAAAAGGGGAGATTGGAAACTGGCCGAAAGTTGTTCAAATCAGTGGGATCCAGTGATAGTTCTTTCAACAGCGGTTTTATTATAGCTTGTTTTAAGCTGGCTGGAATCTTGCCTTCCCGAAGGGAAGCATTAACCACCACCTTAACCCACTCAGCCAATCCCCCTCTGGCCTCCTTTAGAAGCCAGGATGGGCAGGGGTCCAGGATGCATGTGGTTGGCCTCATTCCTCCAAGTATCTTGTCCACATCCTCGGGTTTCACCAATTGAAATGAATCCATCAAAACTGGACAAGCAGGTGCTCGTGTTACATCCTCAGAGACTGCCATTAACATGGTATCCAGACCAGAACGGATCAAAGCGACTTTGTCTGCAAAGAACTGAGCAAAAGCTTCACAGCGAGAAGTCGAATCGTCAGGGTTCCCACCTTGAGTGGTGGGATTTAAAAGGCCTCTGACAATTCGGAACAGCTCAGCCGGACGGTTCTTTGCAGACGCAATAGTGGCCGCAAAGAAGGCCTTCTTTGCGGCTTTTATTGCCGCGGCATATGCCCTTAAAAAGGACACAAACCGTGTTCGATTTGGCTCACTCGGATCCGAACGCCACACACTCTCTAGTTCCCTCTTCCTGCTGCACGGAAAAACCTGGTGAGCAAAGCTGGGTCAAATTCACGCCTCCCGCTTCGTCCAACCAGGTCTCCGTGATGCACGCCAGATCTGCCCGCTCATCCAGGATTAAGTCTTGGATGAAAGTTGTTTTTCCATTGACAGATCTGGCGTTCAACAGCACCACCTTCAATCCAGAGGGACCGCCATCCTGGTTACACCAGTTTACCATATCAGGAGACCGGTTTGGAATTACTAATGTTGTTACACGATCCCTAGGCCGAATTAATGGTCTCCTTTTCCCACATCTCCCCTTCCCCACCACCACTTCTATGGGGGCCCCTCGGCTGGCGCAACACCCCCCCTCCTCCATGCCGCATTCCATATCCAGAATCTCAATATGTATTTCATTGTTGGCAATTTGCTTTGTTGGGATCTCAACTTGCCATGGTCTTCTGTTCCCTTTATCTCCCCCCACCCCTGTTCTATCATTTCCCAAGATCTCCAGCTCGCTTTGTCCCTTGCCCCTTTCACAATTAACTAACAATAAGAATAGTAAATTCTAAGACAAGATGGAAGTGTCTTCTGTTCCCTTCTGTCTTTGCTCTGGCTAGAGCAGCCCTTGGAGCCAGAAGGGGGCGAGGCCTCTAAGTGATGATACAGGCAGAAGACAAGATGGAGTCTCTTCTGTGCCCTTCTGTCTTTGCTCTGGCTAGAGCAGCCCTTGGAGCCAGAAGGGGGCGAGGCCTCTAAGTGATGATACAGGCAGAAGACAAGATGGAGTCTCTTCTGTGCCCTTCTGTCTTTGCTCTGGTTAGAGCAGCCCTTGGAGCCAGAAGGGGGCGAGGCCTCTAAGTGATGATACAGGCAGAAGACAAGATGGAGTCTCTTCTGTGCCCTTCTGTCTTTGCTCTGGCTAGAGCAGCCCTTGGAGCCAGAAGGGGGCGAGGCCTCTAAGTGATGATAGGCAGAAGACAAGATGGAGTCTCTTCTGTGCCCTTCTGTCTTTGCTCTGGCTAGAGCAGCCCTTGGAGCCAGAAGGGGGCGAGGCCTCTAAGTGATGATACAGGCAGAAGACAAGATGGAGTCTCTTCTGTGCCCTTCTGTCTTTGCTCTGGCTAGAGCAGCCCTTGGAGCCAGAAGGGGGCGAGGTCTCTAAGTGATGATACAGGCAGAAGACAAGATGGAGTCTCTTCTGTGCCCTTCTGTCTTTGCTCTGGCTAGAGCAGCCCTTGGAGCCAGAAGGGGGCGAGGCCTCTAAGTGATGATACAGGCAGAAGACAAGATGGAGTCTCTTCTGTGCCCTTCTGTCTTTGCTCTGGTTAGAGCAGCCCTTGGAGCCAGAAGGGGGCGAGGCCTCTAAGTGATGATACAGGCAGAAGACAAGATGGAGTCTCTTCTGTGCCCTTCTGTCTTTGCTCTGCATATCAGATCAAACATGTAGTCCAGCATGTAGTCTCCAAGACAAGGCAGCGAGAAGACAGATAGAAACTCAGGCTTAAAATCTGCTATCATTTCCCAACCTAAGATTTCGCCAAATAGTTTCAATTTCACTGTGTTCTATGCTGGGAGATTAATAAGAGACTAGGCAGAGTTTTAGTAAAAGGAAACATGATACACTCCAAGTTAAGGGTGTTTCAAATATATGAATAAATAGGATATATAGTGCAGAACATGAAGATATACTAAGCTGAAGTCACATTGTACAGCGCTGTTTAGTAAATAATCAAATTAACATTTTCTTTGGTTAAACTACTGAACTAGAATTGCAAATTTTAAAACAAATATTGGGAATAGGAAAGGTATATTTCACTTTTATTCCTATACATTATAGACAGTCATAAGCAGAAAACAAACCACACACACACACAAAAGGGATGTAATTTCCTTTTTCTTTCTTCCATCTCACTTGCAACACTCACTGGTCACAATGAGATAGTTATTCTCCAAAAGACATTCTGCGCATACAATATTTCCGCTTCCAGTAAATAAGATGTTGTGTTATCAATGGAAAGCTGTCATATAGTAGGATAATCAATGAAATGTAGGTTCAGTTCACACAGGAGACCTGTATGTCCTGTGTTGAACAGCAACAACCACACAATGCACTTGCTACTGCAGTCTTGCTTGCAACTGAGTCCAAATAGGTTTCTCAAGCCACTGTCATCCCAAGTGTCCAAGTTATATGTCTGATATATACATGCACAAGTGTGAACAGTGTCCAAAAAACACAAGGAGGCTATCTGTACAAGTAGGTTCACATGAATTCTGCATTTCCACTTTTAGATGCTTAAATGTAGCATCACACAGACTAAGCGGGCCGTTGATTTTTAGGTAATCCGAGGCCTGTAGGGTCTGAAAGGCAAAAATATATGTATTACAAAAACCTTGCTTTACCATGGACCTAATATAATTAGACAAGAACCACATGCTTCCAGTTCAAAATGCTTTTAATTTAATCTTTTAAACTCTAAAATTTAAAAAATTGTTAAATATGAAATTATTATAATGTGAATTTGTTGGTCTGTGTTCAATTGTCTTTGTTGCTTGTGTAAATGTAAATTGGGTTTTATCTTTTGGTGTATGATATTTTATATTTTTATACAGCACTGAATGTTTGCCTCTCTATATGTTGTATGCTGTCGTTAGTCCCAGATTCTGCCAACCTAGCCGTTAAAAAACATGCAAATGTGAGTAGATCAATAGGTACCACTCAGATGGGAAGGTAACGATGCTCCATGCAGTCATGCTGGCCACATGACCTAGGAGACGTCTACAGACAACACCGGCTCTTCAGCTTAGAAATGAAGATGAGCACCACCCCCCAGAGTCGGACTTGACTAGACTTAAAGTCAAGGGGAAACCTTTACCTTTATGTTGTAAACCGCCCAGAGTCCCCACTGGGGAGATAGGGCGGGATAGAAAAAAAGTCTCATTCATTCACTCAAAAGATATTAATTGAGATGCAATGAGCATGCTTTTCTAATTCTCAGACTCAAGTGCTGATGTGTTTTATGATCAAATATCCCTTTGACACACAAATATTTTCCAATATATGATATCTGACATTCAGTAAAATCTAACATTACAATTATTTAACATGGGTAGAAAAGGGTTTGTTTTCTCCAAATTCCCATTACAGGTGAAGAATAACAGAAAACCATGCACATTCAATATTGTATTGGAGACACAAGCTAGGGTTCTTTCCAATTCAAATGGAAGTTAAGATACCATAAGATACCAAGAAAAGACATATTCCAAGTGGCCCTACAGAGAGGAAACCTTGACTTGATGGGTGACTGTGCTGCAAAACAGGTAAACCATGCTGCTTTCATTTCTCACAACTAGCTAGCACATTATTCCTGTGGGAATGAATCAAGCATCTGCCTTCCATGGATAAAAAGGACTCCTTCACTGAAGGTGCCTTTGTTTGACTGGAAACTCCTTCCAATCACTCTCAGAGTAGTATTGGTGGGACTGTAGAGTGACAATCGGAAGAGAAGTCATGGAAGACTCCTTTCTGTTGGAGCATAATTCTGGATCCAAGTGAGGGAAATGCAAAAAGCACAGCAGGAGGAAACGTTCAAAGACATGTCTCTCTGTTTTGAATGCTCAAACTTAGGTATCTGCATTTACCAATCAAGTAAATCTTTACAAATTGTGTATTCAAGACATTGTATGTCAGTGTAGACATATGGCAGACAGGAATCTTCAATTGACCCATCTCATTGCTGCTGTTTGTTCTGGGCAAGCTTTCTGAAAGAATGAGAAGCCTCTTTCAAGCAACTTCTGCATGGTGCCTTTGGGAAACTGGCATTGATATGTTGCAGTGATGGCACTGAATGTTCTCCATGCAATGGAAATCATCCTTCTGGTGAACATGTACGCATAGGTATTAGGGCTGGGCGGTTTCGTTCGTTAATTTCGTAATTTGTTATTAATTCGTTATTTTTTTTATAACGAAGCGATATTGAACCATTCAGGAGCAACTAAAAAACAAAACGAATTTTTCCAATTCGTTTCGTAATTGTTTCGTTATTATTTCGTTATTATTTCCGTATGTCTGGTGCAAGTTTTATAGTCGTTGTTTGTTTTATCAGTGATAAAAAAATAAATTATCACCAACAGTCAACAACAGAGGGAGAGGGAAGCTTCAGAAGTTCCCCCTGTCCCATTTGGAGGGTTTTTTAGCGTATTGCGCAATCGCGTCCGCCATTAACGAATCGATTCGTTATTGTTTCGAAATTGTTTCGAAATTTCCGAAATTCCGTAAATATTGAACTTTTTAAAAGAAAAATTTCGGAATTCTTTTAAAAAACGAAACGCAAAAAACCCCTAAAAACGAATCGAATTTAGAAACAAATTTTTCCGTGGTTGGACAGCCCTAGGATACAGCTATCCCATGGAACAGCCAATGATGCCATGTGAATACTACAGCACATGTACAAACCTTTCAAGGACTGCACAAGGAAGACTTAAAGAGTCATACTGAGCCTCAGCAACTTCATAAAAAGAGTTGGAAATCTTTCTGTACCTGAATCTTTGGGGAATTGTTTCACGCCATCCACTGCTTGTGAGTTCTGATTTTGTGACACAACACATGGTGGTGGGTACCAATTATATTCTGGCTGCAGGGAGGAGGAAAAAGGCAGTAAGAATCAAAATGCAGAGCTCCTGCATGCTTTAAAATTGCAACAGTGAACAAACAAGAGAAACTACTGTGAGCAGTCTAACTGGGCCTCATGGGATCCTCTCCCATTCCCTGATGCCCCAAACCTAAAATATCTGGGATGGGGGAATAGTTCAAGGGAAAGTTCTCTAGCAATTGCTTCTAGTTCCCAAAAGGCTTCCCTCGGCCCCAGTGCCTTTTCATTGACTCACAGGAGGAAAACGGTGATAATTGTGAACTGGAGGCTGTTCACTGGCCAGGGCGGAGGGCGGGTATCTGATTTGTTGCCAGTCCTCGTAACCACGATACAGGTGCGCTTGGGCTGGAGGGCTGTACTGGAACTGGTACATGGGGCAGACTGGGGCCACTGGTGCTGGTTGTGGGTTCTCTGGGTTGAGCCTGTCACCAGAATGCTGCAAGTGAGAAAGCAGGAAGCTGAAATGGATGCAAGCACATCAGACACTCCAGGACTGGAAAGGTAAGAAATTAAAACTCCACAGAGTCTCATGGCACAGGAAGGACGATTATGGTTTTGCTGATTTGCAGTCTTCATTCACTGAGCATTACAAATGTTACATTATCCTTAGCGGTATTTCAATCTCATGTCCACCAAGAGGAACAAGAAACTAAGAAAGGAAGGGGTTCTGCTCTACTTATCAAAAGACAGTAGAGTAGACCTCCTCTGGTGCCAAAAGCAGCTCTAGTTTCAGTCACACGAAGTAGGTAAGCAAACATCAAACGGTAATATTGAAGCTGAAGAATTGCCCTCCCTCTCCTAGACTGCTCAAATTCTTTGTGATTACAGCTTCATCTGATGTGGTGGGGGCTCCTTCTTTGGAGGATTTTAGACAGAGGCTGGATGGCCATCTGTCAGGGTGCTTTGAATGAGATTTTCCTGCTTCTGGGCAGGGGGTTGGACTGCATGTCCCACAAGGTCTCTTCCAACAATATGATTCTATGATGAAACAGACTTAGTCTACAAAAAGGAACATGTGTTTTTACCTGTGATACATCATCTATTTCTAGCAGATAAAGGATGAACCTCTTTTCCTCCCAATCTTTCTTTTATGGGGCAGCCTTTGTGCGAATTGGGGAACCTGTTCAGTTTCAGAGGCTGAGTTATCCACTCTATCTTTGGCTGGCCCAGGGAAAAGACTGGCTTTGTAGGGTTAGATTCCTTAGATGGGGAAACGGGAAGGTCTTTCTTTTTTCTGCCTATCTGGAGCAAATGGGAGAAGCATAGCCCGAGCTACAAGAAGTTCCTCTCCTATCTGCTTGAAAACTTATGCTACTAACTTCTTTCTCTTAGAGTCCAAGGTGTCACAAGATCCCTTGGCATACTGATCCAAGCTAAAACCACCAAGGCACTGCATAGATTCCGCTTGCCTTTTACAAAAATAATACAAAGATGCTGCTAAACTGGCACAATGTAGCCTTCATAATTTCTAATGCACAACTGAATACAAGTTTTCATGCTATTAATGCAGGAAATAACTGTATTGTGATAAATGCCTGCAGAAGTGAGCTGGACCAGAAAATACCATGTAGCCACCCCAACCATGAACTGGCCAAATTAAGGCACTCAAAGTAATACAAATACATTTCAGCTTCACACTTTCAGTACTACTTCTAAGGCTTTGTATGATCAAGCCACACTTTTAGCATTGTTGAAATATTGAGCGGTCCATCCTAGAATCACAATTCAGTACCTGCTTGTGTTGCTTTAGCATTTTCTTGTACTTGTCCTTTTCCTCCTTCTCTTTCTGGTAGTCCTCTTTAAAGGTCCTCAGCTACCGTGGAGATAATGAAAGAGATAATGGAACAGGTAAAAGAGATGCTCACACTCACTTTGTCCCTTCCCTGCTCACTACCGACATAGACAAACAAATCCAAACAGAACAGCTGTAAACACTGTGTTCAAATATGCTGGAGTATTTTTTACTGTGCTGAACCTGGCTATAGGTGGTCCCCAAGAATTAAAATATGGTCAGCGGCCTTACCGTTACTGCACTGTTGCAACAAGAGCAACTGGTCTTGCAAATCCCTCTTATAGTGCCAAGGCAATGGATGTCGGAAAGGGAGAAGCTGACTACCCACAAAAGGCACTACAACAAGCCTCTTGACTGCTGCTTCTCCTCCTCCTCCCTTGGTGCCTTGGTGTCTTCATTTTTAGGCCTTTTACTTGGGTTACTTATGGGTGCTTATTCAGAAAATTGCATTTAATAGACCACATCAACTCCAGGTTATTAAATATGGTTTTATGTGGGTGAACAGATAGCAACTACTGGATGGCATATGTTCTGCATCACAAACTAGTGCTGATATAGTCTATCCAATGCAGTTTTCTGAATCAGCACTCCAAATAACCAAACCGAATCTAAAGTTGAGCAAAAACGGATTCGTAACGCTTTTGGTACTAATGTTGAACAGTGGTGCCTGGTCAAAGTGGTAGCAGAACAAGTGGTAAAAAAGGTTGGGAACCACTGCTACAGATAATCAAAAGCAAGACATTCATTTTCTGCTTCCCTGCAGAAACTTACAGAGGGCAAGTGAGGTGAGATGGTGTCATAGAGGGTAAATATAGTTAAGAGGCCAAACAGGGTTGCAATGGACATTTTGGGCATTTTGGGACATTTTGGGCCTTCTGACTTAAATAATGTGGTATCCTCTAATGCTTTGCCACCCAAGTATTTTTTTTCTCCATCTTCTGGCTTTCTCTCCCCTTCTCTTTGAATCCACAAAAGGAATTACTTAGTAAAAATATCTTTTTCAGATGGCTGCTAAAGAATATGAACTGCATGCTCTAAAATGTGTTATGGACACTCTTCCAATCCCTTCACCTAGCAGAACAGCACAATGCACCAAAGTACAAGGTGAAGTAAAGTGTGAGCTGGGTCTACTTTTTAACCAACTCGGGAAAAAAAACTTCCGAAGACTCCTGAAAACATCTCTTTGCTTTGCAAGTGTGATTTGTCTCTTTCCTAAGCTTGCCCTCTGGACAGCAGAAGCAGTGCATTACCAAAGCAAGGGACTCCTCAATGATTATGGTTATGGTTCCAATTACATCATGTAACACAATTTTTGTTTCTTGGTTATAAATATCATTTCCTAATTGGTTCTATCATTAAAACACAGAAAAAGTTTATTAAACTGCAAAAACTTTGTTTTTATGGGACATCCTGCAGCACATTGCTATAGTTCTTCAATGAATATCTTATCGAGACTCAACCAATTTAACATAATTTGTGGCAGCCACAAAAATGACGTTTCTAGAGTATAGCAACTACTTTTCAAAGTAAATACAAAACAATTAAACCGGAATAGCACTTTCAAACTAATAACAGAAATGGGGTTGCTGTGAGTCTTCTGGGCTGTATGGCTATGTTCCAGAAGTCTTCCAGAATGCTTCTGGAACATGGCCATACAGCCCAGAAAACTAACAGCAACCCAATGATTCTGACCATGAAAGCCTTCAATAACACAGGAACAGAAAATTTCTCAAATGTTATTAGCATTATTGTCCTCTAGGTTAGACCTAGAGGAGAGGAATGAAAAGCAAATTAGGTGGGGGGGGGGGAGAGAAAAGAGAGGCCGTATGGCAGTCCTTGAAAGGAGTAAGAAATGATGGATGGCAAAGAGAAAAAGAAGGAAGAGGCATAGTGCCTCAGAAAGGGTATGGCTCTGTTAACTGGAAGGAGTTTGACAAAGAGCCTAATTTGGGGACTCCTCTGAGAGGGTCTAAGCAAATACACTGTCACCTTCAACATGTGCAAAGTTTTCTTTGCCTCCTACCTGATTGTTGGTAAGCATCAACTGCTTCTGAAGCTTCTCCACCTGTCGCTTCAGCTCCTCCTTCTCCTCATTCATCCTTTCCCTATCGCTCCGCTCCCGTTGGAAGTCCTCCTCAAAGATCTTCACCTGGTAAAAGTCAAAGAACATACACTGAAGTCTAGAAGCACACTGGCAGGCCCTGAAGTATGCCATGATTTGATGCTGATGTATGAGGAAACGACACAATTTGCTATGTTAGTGTAAGTTCAACATCAAAACCCTGTTCTGAGAGACTTAAGACTCTAAAGAAGTCATTCCCATTATGAGAGCATGGCTAACCCAACATACACCACTGTAGGTGTCTACTGTATACCATGCAGCTGTGGGAAATAATAACTGTTGAAATTTTTCACAAGGTTACTAACATAACTAAAATTGTCATTTATGAAGATAGATTATGCGGTCACATGGAGGGAAGATCATTCTGTAAGTAAGAGAACATTCATGCTACACATTTTGAAAACTCAGGAATAGTCCAGCAGAGGACATGTTGAATTTTTACATTTGGAAGACCTAAAAACAAACCTGAGCCACAAAGGTATTATCTAATTTTAAATAAGTTGTTATCGCAGCTTCAGTTGCCATTTTGTAAAATGTTGACATACAACACCAACCTCTAAGGTGGTTGTGAGACAGACTATAATCTTGTATTCACTTTATCTTTTGGAACTGTATAGCAAAACATTTCACAGTCCACAGTAAACTGGATGGGTAGGAGAAATGCAGAACATATTATTTGATAATTAATTTTCCATACATTCAAAATCAGAAAGAGAGCACAATATACTGCTGAGAATGAGCAAAATGAAAAAGGATTATCCAAATAAAAGTAGGCTATTGTTGTTTTTGCCAATGGGAATAATTCTGGTTTACAAGTGGTCCCAAACTGAGAGTGGTTCTGTTTTTATAAAATGTTTCATACCTGTTGCTTCAGGAGGTCATTCTGAGTCATCACTTCCTGCTGCCGGATATTTACAGAAGGGTCAGCGGGGCTGTTGAATGCAGACGGAGGGGGAGCAGAGGCCTGGAAGGCCAGGGCTTCTTCTAAGGCCTGGAGACAGGGTCAGATGAAAAATCAAAACAACCTTGTTTCAGATAAACAGCAATAAGAGCAGCATGATGTCTAGATACATACGTCTACAGCAATGCCCATTCTATTAGGAAAGCCCGTAACTCATGGGGAGATAATGTGACATTACAGAGAAGCTGCATCTGAAAGTACACATTTTCCAAAGATGACTCACTTTATTTAGCCGGAGAATCTCCTTCTCTTGGTACTCTTTTTGTCTGGTGATTGGAGTCAGTTGATCCTGAAGCAATTTTACTCTCTGTTTCAGGTCCTTTACCTCTGCACTAAGTCTCTCCTTTTCTGCCTAAGGGATGGACAGACACATAAAAGTCAACACAGTGTTACATGTGCATTCAGGGATTTGACTTCAGCCATCTTCCTGTGGCCCTCAGCCACGCAAAATTAACTTCCTGTCAGACTAGTTTAGTCTTAAACATGATTTCCCGCTTTGGTCTTCCCCAACCCAGTGTCCTTCAGGTGTGTCATACTACAGCTCCCATAATTAGACACAGCCAGCTATTCCCTAGTTGAAGTTTAATCCTGCTAATCGAAGAGACTCACCTCCTCCTCTTCAATCTTGGATTTTGCTAGGAGAAGCTTGCGGTCAAAATCCCTTTGCTTCTGCTCCCGCTCAGCTTCCATTTCACCCCCAGCTTTCTGGGAGTCTGCAAGCTTTTGCCGTAGATCTGTTATCTGCCAGGAGGAGAAAATAATTCAAGAATTTAAAAACAGCTGTATTTCCATATGGGAAATACGAAAAGAAATGGATGACTAAGTACCACTAAAGGTGATGCCACCTGAACAGGTGCTCAGAAATGCTTGATGAGGCTTCTCTGACTACATAAACGAGAGTATGAATCAAAGGCAGAATTTTTTTCAAATTCCACCTAAATGATACAAGTAGAAGGTGCAAGATGTATGCCTGCATCATGAGTAGCAAGCTGCAGTGCTCTAAGAGCCAATTTTTATCGTCAGGATCTTAATATCAATATCAACAACTCCAAGTCCACAGAAAAAGACTCAAGGCCAGCACTAAGAAGACCTTGCATAGAGAATTTGTGTTTTATGATTTTTTCCTATTTGTTTATTATGTTAGTTAGGTTGTTCTATATTGTTTAATGTATCTTGTCCTGATGTAAATTGGTTGTATGGTTTTTTGTTTGCCATTGAATGTCTTATTTGTTGAAAACTGCCCTGAGTCCCTTTGGGGAAATAGGGCAGTCTTATAAATGAAGTTGTGTTGTTGTTGTTTTCCAACCACAATTACTTTAACAGTAGGCACTTTTTTAAAAAAAAACAAAACAAAACACCCTGATATAGATCTTATTTTATGAGCAGGGTTGTTTGAGTGAAAGTATTTTTTTCAAATAAAGTCTTTTAAACTCTTAATAGCTTGGAATCTAGTGAAGCAAGTTACTCTAGGTCTATCTACCTTAGACATGTATAGTGTTGTGTACATATTAAAAAGATACCTATGGGTAAATTCATGATCATAACCACAATGATTTTACATAATGAAACTGTTTCTATTCTGACTCAATATGCCTTTTGTGTGTGGTAACAGAAGAAAACTCAATTGGGATAAAAACAGCATGATAGAAGCTTGAGGAATTTTCCTCTAACAATATGACCATTGACATTCTTTCCTTTCAACAATAATGACAAAGCAATATGTTCATGTTTGAGGAGGTGGAATAAATACTATCTATAAATCCGTCTTTGTCAACATACTTGAAATCCATTACCTTCTGCTCATATTGTTGCTTCATCGATCTGAAATGCTGGTCCCACTGTTTATTTACTTCCAATAGCTAGAAAGAATTCACAGAGTTAGCCTGGTATTTACATCGACTCACTGATGCAGTGTCTAAAGCAAATTTTTGTCAGCACTGTCTGACCCAGGTGTTTGGGACCTCCAATTCCATAATTTCTTATACCTGGCCATGCTGGATAGGACTTTAGGGCAAAAAGTCCAAAATCCCTGAAGCACCAAAACTTGCCCATCTCTGTTTTGGACTGATCGTCAATTCTATATCACTGGCAACTGCACTTGAGCTTTAATTGCTTAAAATGGACAGCAGCAATAGTTAGTCTGTTTTGGCCTACCCTTCAGCGGGGAGAGCAAATGCAACTGCTTCAAACACAGATGACTCTGATTTCATAACTGCAAAGGCTTGAGATCCTGCAAAGCCATTGTTGGTTGCCAATAGGAATACATGGACAAGACGTCTGATCCAATAAAATAAGAGAACCTGCAGCCCAGCCATATTTAAGGATTCATGCAACCCCTTGCCATTACTAAGGATTGGCTAGTGCTGATGGGAAGTGGAGCACAAAAGATTTGGAGAAACAAAGGCTCCTCTCCCTTATGGCAAAATTAAGGAACTTCTGTTCTTAAGGCAGGCTGTCATATAACCGCCAATATATCAAGCTTACCTCATTGCGCTGGTGCTCGAGTATCTTTACTTTCTTCTCACTTGTCCCCAACATGCTTTTCCCTGTCACTTTCTCCTCTGCTGCCCCCTTCTGAAAAACAGACACAGAAAAAGGTCCTTTAAAACAAGGAAGATGCTTCTTTCTGGCAGCCAGTTTCTACTCAGTCATCCCTCTTCATGCCAACCCCTGGCTAAACCTGGCATCTAAAACTTGTCACTAGCCTTCCTCAATATGATATTCCCTAGGTGGACTGGAACGCAATTCCCATCAATCCAGGCTACATGCCTGAAGTGATGAGAAATACAGACCAGGTCATCTAGGGCTTGCTCAGTTGGAGACGACTGCCCTTCCAAACAATCTGCATCACACACAACTTAGGAGAGCAAAAAATCCCAATGGTTAATGAACAAAAATAACAGGGGTGTACATTGTTAGAGGCATTCTGAAAATTTGCATGTAGTAAAGAAGTAAAAACTGTTACTGAGCTCGGCTCGCAGACATCCATTCTGCAAAAGCTGCAGGTCAGGAATCTTGGCTCAGGACAATCTAATTTAGCAGGAAATCCCCCTACCTGTTGTTGTCCTGCAAACTCAATGCCTTCTGCTTTCATTCCTTCTTTGTTGCCCATCATCATCATCTTCCTGAGTTCCAGGTTCTCACATCTACATTGGAAAATAACAACAGAACAAATTGAGCATTATGGAGAAGAATGTATCCTTCTCGTTTGATGTGAAAGGACAACAGCAGGGACACAGCAGCCAAAATATAATCAACTTCAAAAACCCAGGTGAAATTATTCCCTATGAAGCTAAGTAGAAAAATAAATTATTGGATGATATGGCTAATCACTAGCTACTAGCCAAGATGGCTACATTTGACCCCCAAGATCAGAGGCTGCTTGTCCCTGCTGGTGGAACTGTGACAGATGGGTAAGGCTTGTGGGCTTCCCAAAAATGCACCAAATTAGCCACTATTTGTAAGAGGAAGATGGAATAGAGAGGCTTTTGTTCAGATCCAGCAAGCCTCTCAATTTGTTCCATTGTGAAGTGTACTTTTTTTATTGTCCCTGTGAACCTTTTCTCCAAAATGGATCAACACAGCTACTGTTTTGATCTAAAGACAAGGCTAGAGCAGGCACGCCCATTTATGCCCAAAATGTTGTATATCCTACCATTTCAGCAGAATTCAACTCAGAACAAAAGATCCACATTGCCTCTTTCTTGAGACTTGCCTATTAGGCTTGTGTGCAAATCTGTTTTAGCCATTTTCCTTTGGCCAATTCAGCTTTTTTGGCTCTGCCGGATGGCCGTAATGGCAAGGGCCCAGCTGTCACATTTTCCTGTCCATAACGGGACCACGTGGCAGCCAATCATGGATCCCCCTCCCCTATTCTGTATCATTACACAAGTTGTATCTGCTTCCTTAACTCCATTGCTGAAACCCAGGCTCCCTTGAAGGGAGAAAAGGAAAAGGTGCCAGGAACAGAAAGGGGAACCTTGTAAATTCCTCACTGCCGCCAATGGACCGTATCCACCCGTATTTTTCGGCTGTGGTCTGAAACAGGCCATCCGGCTACCTGCCCATTTTTTGGAGGCATGCAAAAACAGATATGGGGTCTGTTGGATCTGGCTAGCAGAAACAGATCGAGGTTCAGCTGAAATGCACAAGCCTATTGCTTATGTCTGTAACCTGTGCTTGCATCCTGAGGCCACATTGGCGGGTGCTCAAATACCATGCAATTCTTACTGAAGGCCTCTAGAGGGGGGCATGTCACAAGAATAGCAAAATTCACATTAAATCCAAAATACAATCTACACATTGTGTTGACATTCTTTTTAGTCCAATTAGCAAGCACAAAAATAATTATGCTAGCTTTCAAGGCACACTGTGAAGTCAGTAAAATATGTCAATAAATGTTTTTTCCCCTCTGTTTGCAGCCAAAACTCTGCCTTGAGATCTGTTCTTAATAATGCCACTTGTTTGTAAAATGTATGATCATCTCAGGAGAATCCTGATAATAAATGGGTAAACATTTCATTTTGGTTCACATTATAAATCAGTAGCTACCAATTCTGAACAGCCAAGGAAGCGCATTAGCCAATTTCTGTGGATCACTGAAACTTAAATTTCAGTTCTTGTTTTAATCAGAATTTACCAGTATTCAGACATGGCAGAAACCAGGCTGTGAAATCTGGCCATTCCTATTTCTGATTATGAGCCTAGAGAGATGAATGCAAGTGCAACCTGGCAAGGTTTTGACTGGAATAAATAAAAAGAAAACAGAATGTGACCTAGCCTGAGAAGCTTGACTATTCCTGCAGAGATTATCAATGCCTTTAATGTAAATGGAGTACCATTATTTGTGAACTTGAAAGCCAAAGGCCAAAAGTCTTCATGATCACCAAGCTACATCCTCCAAAGGCAGGAATTTCTTGCTGTTTTAGCAGTTCTATACACAACTCGAAAAAAATAATAATACTGAAATTGCTTTTCTAGTGGGAATCTCCAACACTGTGTTTCCTATATACATCTCACACAGAACATAGACAAATAAGTATTTTGTTTATTTGGCAGGGAGAGTATCTGGGCATATCCTTCTATTTTTTTTAAAAGCCAGAGATCACCTCTCACTACTCCCAGTGAGATCTTTGTGACTCCCTCTCAAAAAAGAACTTTGTTTCAGGCAAGGGAAAGCTTGAAAGTATGAGTCACTGAGTGATGAGGTGCCTAAAGCTAGTCACCATCAATATAACTGAATCCTTTTGTGAAGCTCAGCATGTTGAGACACCTCATCAGGCTATGCAGAGGTCAAAGTGTAAAATACTCTGCAATTGTCTTTTAGTAGTTCTATCTAGCGAGGCCTTCTTTTATGTTCTTTTATAGAAGGAACTCTGGCTCTGCTTTGGGCTTCACCTGGGGACATCCAATGTGAGGAAATTCCCTTAATCCTTTATCTGGAGATTCCCGCTTATTTTTGCTATTTTTCCTGTTCCTCAACAGGAAAAATGGATTGCCAGAATTCTCTTTATAAAGAACAGATGAACTTTCTTCCAGATCCTTCAAATAACTGGTGGCAGTTCAGGGTAGCGGTAAAGCTACAAGGATGTAATGGCTATCATCGTGGGGCAGGAGGACCTTCCACCAGGTAGCACACTTCTAGCATCAACTAGAAAAAGTTATTTCTATAGGTGACAACTCACAAAATGTCTAAACTGCTGCGGGCAATGACTATGAAAACATTGTGCCCAATGACCACAAGCGTTGTATTCCAAAAAGTAACTTTTACTAGTTCTGTAACAGATATAAACTGATAAACCATGAAAGGACAATTTAACCTATTGCTCAGCACTCCCACTTGTCTATGGACTCCTTTCACACCTGATGTGTACTCACCTCAGCTTCTCAGAGATCTGGTTCCTTTGCTCCAGTTCCTTTTCCAATTTTGTTCTCAGCTCCTCATTCTCATTCCGCAACTGTTCACACAACGCCTATGTTTTTTAAAATAAACAAACACCAATAATAATAAATGTTCAATCACATTTGCCAAGGTCCATTTGTTTCTAGCAAAAGATTTAGTGAGTGCTTTCACTAAACAAACCTGCTTTATTTTAATCTCCCAATCTGATTTTCATTTTCTTCAGATGTTGACAGCAATGCCATAATTGTGACCCTTCCTTGAGATGAATGTATATCCTTCAGGATACTCAAAATACCATTTATCCTCATCAAAAAATTTTCAGATAGGTCAATCTGAGATAACCTGATTTGCTCATTCACCTAGTTCCTACTTTGAGTGTTCTTAGTTTGACAGAAGCCGTTATCCCCCACTATTTATTTATCGTATCAGGAGCAAACCAAACAGTTGTACTGCATTTTTTAACAAACAAACAAACAAAACACAAAGTTGATTTTCTCTAATATAGGGGTGAGGATTCCGCATCCTTCCAGATGCTGTTGAACTGCTTTAAGAAGCACAATCTATGAGGAGAAAGGTTGGAAACGGCAATTCAACATTTGGAGGGAATGGGCATACCTTCCAGAGAAGACATTTGTTTCTGCCTTGTCATGGATTCCCTTAGGGCCCTTCCAGACAGGTCCTATATCCCAGGACATAATCCCAGGTTTTATGCTCTAAACTGGATTTTATGAGTCCACACTGACAAATAAACCTGAAATGAGATCCTGGGATATAGGGCCTGTCTGGAAGCCCCCCCCCCCCCCCCCCCCGAGGATCGATTACATAATGACTAGGCTCAGGGAAAAAGTCTTCCTCCTTTCTCAGAGATTTTAGTGATTAGTGTATATCCTCAGGGGATATATATATATATCTGATGCTTTAGAAATCTACCTCACTGTGGTATGTGTCACACCTTTGTTAGAAATGAGGGATACTTGAATAATAAGTTAAGTTAAGTTTCAGGTACACAGATACCAATAGCGTTTGTATTGACAACAGCTCTTGTGAAGCAAAGGGTCGCCGCCTTGTTGTGGCGCTGGAGCTTGAGCACCTCAATGATGTCATGAGCGAAACCGTGAAGGGCCACCCAAGACGGGACGGTCGTGGCAGAGAGGTCAGATCAAGCGTGATCCCTGGGGAAGGCAATGGCAAACCACTCCAGTATCCTTGCCAAGAAAACTAAATGGATCAGTACAACCAGAGATATGTCGGTATGCCATTGGAAGATGGGACTCCCAGGTCGGAAGATGGCCAAAATGCTACTGGGGAGGAGCAGAGGATAAGTTCAACTAGCCCCAGATGTGATGACGCAGCTAGCTCAAAGCCGAAAGGAAGGCTAGCGGCCGACGGTACTGGAGGTGAACGACGAATCCGATGCTCTAAAGATCAACACACCATAGGAACCTGGAATGTAAGATCTATGAGCCAGGGCAAATTGGATGTTGTTATTGGTGAGATGTCAAGATTAAAGATAGACATTCTGGGGGTCAGCGAACTGAAATGGACTGGAATGGGCCACTTCACATCAGATGACCACCAGATCTACTACTGCGGACAAGAGGAACATCGAAGAAATGGAGTACCCTTCATAATTAATAAGAAATTCGCTAAAGCAGTGCTTGGATACAACCCAAAAGATGACAGAATGATCTCAATTCGAGTGCAAGGAAAGCCTTTCAACATTACAGTGATCCAAATATATGCCCCAACCACAGCTGCTGAAGAAGCAGAAGTAGATCAGTTCTATGAGGATCTGCAGGACTACTGGATAATACACCAAAAAGAGACATTATTTTCATTACAGGAGACTGGAATGCCAAGGTGGGAAGTCAAATGACAACTGGGATCACAGGCAAGCATGGTCTGGGAGAACAAAATGAAGCGGGACGCAGGCTGATAGAATTTTGCCAGGAAAACTTGCTGTGTATAACGAATACTCTCTTCCAACAACCTAAAAGACGGCTTTATACATGGACCTCACCAGATGGTCAACACCGAAATCAGATTGACTACATTCTTTGCAGCCAAAGGTGGCGGACATCCATCCAGTCGGTGAAAACAAGACCTGGGGCTGACTGTAGCTCAGATCACGAACTTCTTATTGCTCAATTTAGAATAAAACTAAAGAGATCAGGGAAAATACAACAGACCAGTTAGATATGATATCACTAACATTCCTAGCGAATATACAGTGGAAGTGAAGAACAGATTTGAAGGACTAGATTTAGTAAACAGAGTCCCAGAAGAACTATGGACAGAAGTCCGCGACATTGTTCAGGAGGCGGCAACAAAGTACGTCCCAAAGAAAAAGAAAAACAAGAAGGCAAAATGGTTGTCTGCTGAGACACTGGAAGTAGCCCAAGAAAGGAGGAAAGCAAAAGGAAACAGGGATAAGGGGAGATATGCCCAGTTAAATGCGCAATTCCAGAGGTTAGCCAGAAGAGACAAGGAACTATTTTTAAACAAGCAATGCTTGGAAGTGGAAGAAGACAACAGAATAGGAAGAACACGAGACCTCTTCCAGAAAATTAGAAACATTGGAGGTAAATTTCAGGCAAAAATTGGTATGATAAGAAACAAAGATGGCAGGGACCTAACAGAAGCTGAAGAGATCAAGAGAAGGTGGCGAGACTATACAGAAGGTCTGTATAGGAAGGATAATAATATTGAGGATAGTTTTGACGGTGTGGTGAATGAATTAGAACCAGACATCCTGAGGAGTGAGGTTGAATGGGCCTTAAGAAGCATTGCTAACAACAAGGCAGCAGGAGACGACGGGATCCCAGCTGAACTGTTTAAAATCTTAAAAGATGATGCTGTCAAGGTGATGCATGCCATATGCCAGAAAATATGGAAAACACAAGAATGGCCATCAGACTGGAAAAAATCAACTTATATCCCCATACCAAAAAAGGGAAATGCGAAAGACTGCTCAAACTTCCGTACAGTGGCCCTTATTTCTCATGCCAGTAAGGTAATGCTCAAGATCCTGCAAGGAAGACTCCAGCAATACATGGAGCGAGAGTTGCCAGATGTTCAAGCTGGGTTTAGAAAAGGCAGAGGAACGAGAGACCAGATGCCAATATCCGCTGGATAATGGAGAAAGGCAGGGAGTTTCAGAAAAACATCTACTTCTGCTTCATTGACTATTCTAAAGCCTTTGACTGTGTGGATCATAATAAATTGTGGCAAGTTCTTGGTGGGATGGGCATACCAAGCCACCTTGTCTCTCTCCTGAGGAATCTGTACAAGGACCAAGTAGCAACAGTAAGAACTGACCACGGAACAACAGACTGGTTCAAGATTGGGAAAGGCGTACGGCAGGGTTGTATACTCTCCCCCAACCTATTCAACTTGTATGCAGAACACATCATGCGATGTGCGGGGCTTAACTAATGCAAGGCTGGGGTGAAAATTGCTGGAAGAAACATTAACAACCTCAGATATGCAGATGACACCACTCTGATGGCCGAAAGCGAGGAGGAGCTGAGGAGCCTTCTAATCAAGGTGAAAGAAGAAAGCGCAAAAGCTGGGTTGCAGCTAAACATCAAAAAAATCAAGATTATGGCAACAAGAATGATTGACAACTGGAAAAGAGAGGGAGAAACCGTGGAGGCCGTGACAGACTTTGTATTTCTAGGTGCAAAGATTACTGCAGATGCAGACTGTAGCCAGGAAATCAGAAGACGCTTACTTCTTGGGAGGAGAGCAATGTCCAATCTCAATAAAATAATAAAGAGTAGAGACATCACACTGGCAACAAAGATCTGCATAGTCAAAGCCATGGTATTCCCTGTAGTAACCTACGGATGTGAGAGCTGGACCTTAGGGAAGGCTGAGCGAAGGAAGATAGATGCTTTTGAGCTGTGGTGTTGGAGGAAAGTTCTGAGAGTGCCTTGGACTGCGAGAAGATCCAACCAGTCCATCCTCCAGGAAATAAAGCCCGACTGCTCATTGGAGGGATGACTAGAGACAAAGTTGAAGTACTTTGGCCACATCATGAGGAGACAGCAAAGCCTAGAGAAGACAATTATGCTGGGGAAAGGGGAAGGCAAAAGGAAGAGGGGCCGACCAAGGGCAAGATGGATGGATGGCATCCTTGAAGTGACTGGACTGACCTTGAAGGAGCTGGGGGTGGTGACGGCTGACAGGGAGCTCTGGCGTGGGCTGGTCCATGAGGTCACGAAGAGTCGGAGACGACTGAACGAATGAACAACAACAACTTGTGAAGCTAGTACTAATGCAGGACTGTTTTCAAGAGCAGAGATGGGTGAGAATTTTGTTTCAGATTGTTTTTTATATCTTTCCCATATCCTAAATGGAAAGAACTAGAGATTTGAAAATCTCTAAATGTGAGAAACAAAATTAGACAGATTATTCCATCTAGACCCAGGATGTTGAGTGCTTAACTATCTGATCCTATTGTATACAATTTTGTTATTAAATTAGGATTATCACTTTTTTGACAAATGCCACATCTTCAATCCCCAACAGGGCTGAAAGATACTACAGGGGTCTCTTCATCCTGAGAATGAATGTACCAACTGAATTTGTTGCTGCAAATGAGGCAAGAATTTTATTTGCTTTGTCTCTTTTTTAATAGAAGTGATCTTTATATCTGAGATGGAAAAACTGAGGTTTCAAAAATCTGAGTGCTGACAGATATTCCCATCCCTTTCAAGTCATGGGTGGTTGAGGGAATATTGACACTGATGATGGCAAAATGTGGAACACATATTCCTTGGAGGCGTTTAAACATTTGCTGGATAGCCTTCTTTCAGGGAACTTTGCACTTTTCCTGCATAGAATCATAGAACCCTATAGAGTTGGAAGAGACCTCGTGGGCCATCCAGTCCAACCCCATTCTGCCAAGAAGAAGGAAAATTGAATCCAAAATACCCCTAACAGATGGCCATCCAGCCTCTGTTCAAAAGCCTCCAAAAAAGGAGCCTCCACCACACTCTGGGGCAGAGTTCCACTGCTGAACAGCTCTTACAGTCAGGAAGTTCTTCCTTATGTTCAAGTGGAATCTCCTTTCCTGTAGTTTGAAGCCATTGTTCCACATCCTAGTCTCCAGGGCAGCAGAAAACAAGCTTGGTCCTTCCTACCTAAAACTTCCCCTCACATATTTATACATGGCAATCATATTTATATATGCCCAGGTCTTTAAGCCACCTCTCATAGGGCTTGATCTCCAGACCCTTGATCATTTTTGTAGCCCTCCTCTGAACACATTCCAGCTTGTCAACATCTCCCTTCAATTATGGTGCCCAGAATTGGACACAGAATTCCAGGTGTGATCTGACCAAGGCAAAATAGAGCAGTAGCATGACTTCCCTGGATCTAGACACTATACTACTTTTTATGCAGGCAAAAATCCCATTGACTTTTTTTTTTTGCTGCCACATGACATTGATGGCACATGTTTAACTTGTTGTCCACAAAGACTCCAATATCTTTTTCACATGTACTATTGTCAAACCAGGCATCGCCCATTCTGTATCTTTGCATTTCTTTTTTTCTGCCTAGGTGGAGTATCTTGTATTTGTCCCTGTTGAACTTCATTTTGTTAGTTTTGCCCCATCTCTCTAATCTGTTAAGATCATTTTGAATTCTGTTCCTGACTTCTGGGGTATTGGCTGTCCCTCCCAATTTGGTGTCATCTGCAAATTGATGATCATGTCTTCCAAATCAGATAAGGCTAAGCATGGCAGGGGGTTGGACTAGATCAGGGGTCCTCAAACTAAGGCCCGGGGGCCATATATGGCCCTTCAAGGTCATTTACCCAGCCCTTGCTCAGGGTCAGTCTAAGTATGAAATGACTTGAAAGCACACAACAACAACAACAATCTTATCTCATCAGCCAAAAGCAGGCCCACACTTCCCACTGAAATACTACTAAGTTTATATTTGTTAAAATTGTTCTTTATTTCAATTACTGCATTGTTTTAAAGTGTTTTTTGCACTACATATAAGATATGTGCAGTGTACATAGGAATTCATTCATGCTTTTTTCAAATTATAATCTGGTCCTCCAACAGTTTGAGGGACTGTGACCCGGCCCTCTTTTTAAAAAGTTTGAGGATCTCTGGACTAGATGGTCTATGTGGTTTCTTCCAACTCTTTTATTCTATTATTCTATGAAACAAGATATAGTTACAGTTATCCGGTGTTGCTATGACCACTAAAAATCCACGGAGAACAGTTAAATCAGCTTCAGATATTAGTGTATTTAGGTCACAATGGGTCAAAAATTGTCAAAGCACTGGTTCATCTACACTGTACTCATTTTCTATTTCACACTTGTTCCCTCAATTGGATTTGGAGGGAAAGAAAACAGTTGAGGCAAAGAAAAGGGGTCTCAGAAAACTAGGAGGCAAACAAACAAGGCACATCTACCAGAAGGCTTCGGACCTGAAGAATGGATGTCCGCTGTTCATTCTTGTGCACTTTGGAGGCCAGGCGGTTGAACTCCAGAGCCATGCGCCCCAGATGGGCAAAGAGCTGTGTTTTATCGGACTCCTCAGCAAAGAGGCTGAGTGTGTTCTCCAAGCGCTGAAGGTGGAGCATAAGGTTGGCGTCTTCGTTGGGAACTGGCTCTATACCCTGCCAAAGATAACCAAGTTAGACACTTTCAAGTAGAGAGAAGAAAAAACATCAGACTGCCTTCCCTATCAGCAGAAAAAGTCAATTGGCACCTATTGCTTCATCAAAAGTAGGCTTTGTTTTTATTTCTGCCTTGCTTTAAATAATGACAATAACGATAATAATACTGATAATGTGATTCAAACTGAACCAAGGTATGGTATTCTGTTCTTTCTTTTTTTGGTGGTGGTGGGGGGGGTGAGTTGGTACCAAATAGAAGAGGTTGACTGCCTTCATGTCCATCATTTATTTGTTCCTTTTTTAAAAGCAATTCATATGTTTCACATTAGGCATACATTATATTGGTATTTCACTCTCTCACTTGTCTTAGTCTTTTTTCCCCCCTCTCTGGTATACAGAGCTGCAAATATTTTGCCCCTTCCTCATAGCAAGGATGCTCCAATCCCTCTGCTCAATTGTTTATACTTTTCATTAGCTCTGCCATGCGAGTGATGCCCTGATTTTGAGCTGAAGTGACCAGAACTATACAAAATACTAACTGTTCTCTTTTAAATAAAGGTCCAGTTATGCACAGGAAGCTATTCAAAGATGCATCAGATTGAACCTATATTAATAATTCCAAACCAAGATCAGCATTTATTTTACTTTTCCCAGAGGATACATATCTTAACTGATTCTGAGCAATTTTCCCAATTCAGCACTCTCTTGATATGTTGAACTTTGATACATTATCCCCCACAGTCAGTATACACAATGCTTGGGGATGATGGGAGAAGGAATCAATCACATATGATGGTTTCAGGTACGGAAGGCTCTCATAGAGATGTTCTGTGCTTATTCAGCACCCATCTTTACACATAATGTTCTGTAGTTCTAAAAGACCAATTACCAAACCAATGTTTCTTTCATACTTTGCTTCCTTGTCAACTCTGTTTACCAGTTTAATAATATTTGTATACCTCTTTACAGTAAAAGCCAATCATAAGAACACAGATACACACACACACATTTGTGTGTGTCAAAACATAATAATCAGTGCTAATGATAAGGAAACAATGAACAAATTGTTTCTTTCAAAAAGGTTTTAAGAGATTTTTCTAGTGGTTTGAGTGTTAAACTCTGGAGACCAGGGTTCAATTTCATTGCTGAGCCACGGAAACCCACTGGATGGCCTTGTCTGAACCACACTCTCTCAGCCCCTAAAAGCATAGATTTGTCATAAGAAAAAGCAAATTGAAGGCACAGGTGACAATAACAACTACAACCTCCAGGAACACTACTGTTGGCACATTCCAGATTTCTAATTAAGAAGTTTGGCCTAGGTATCTAACTGTCATTTTTTTTTGATAGCTGAACATTTTTCTGTGATCCTCCAACATACAGAGGTCAAGACATAGTATAAATTTTGGGAATCATTTAAGTTGGGCAATATGTAATTACTGTCTCTGCTGCTATTCAGGATTTTGCAAATCAAGTGGGTGTCTTGCATGACAAGACCCCCAATTACTCCGTTCCAGAATCTATTTTCAGTATCAGTGTCAAATACAAACTATACAGAATAAACAAACCAAACTACCTCTGTGTGAAGGTGGTCTTCCCTTTGCCACCATGCCGCTTTTTATTGAGGAAACCACTTTCCTGAACAACAACAGTAATTCCCCTCTTTACCCACCCCAGACGGAAGGACCAAGTTCTTCAAAAATACTCTATATAACAAGAAATGAACAGATAAAGCTTGACATGCACTTTTCTCTTTCTAGCATGTGAGGTTGACATCCCACCATTCACTCTCTCTCATTTCTACTTAATGGAACTTATCTCCACAACCTGAGAAAAAGCCAGTGCCCCACTTTACATTTCACATATGATATCCCTTTCCACACCTCTTCTACAAAGCTGTCATTTCCCAGCTCCAATATTTACCTCTGGAGTGGCAACAGTGATTTTCATCCCAAAGTACTGCGACAGACAGATACTTCTTGTCAGAAGCTCTGCAGCTACCACACATTGCCTTTATACCTGTGAAGTAGTCCCTGGTTGTTGGCACACCTGCACAGAGCCATTTGGAGTCACACCCTTTTACTTACGTGCACATTGCCAAACCCTCATAGTTGCGCTAACCCGACCTGGACTATTTTGGTTTGTTAATTGCTTAGTTGCCTGGGACACACATGCTACCATCCTGAGCCAAAAGCTCCAAGCAGTTCAGACCTACTTGCCTTGCCTGACAGTGAATCAGTCAAGATCAGGCTTTATGTCATCATACATGCAGCCCATCAAACAGTAATCTCTGAAGGTGAAAAGAGGGGAAATGCCACACTTCGCCCAGGGCTTGCTTGCTGACTCATTACATCCTCACTTCCATCATCTGCCCCAATGAACTGTGTCCAGAGAGACCAAAAAAATGAAATAAAAATCCCATTCTTTGTCCATCTCCCTTGGTGCTGATTCATAAAGGAAATATACAAAAGAAAAATGATGTGTAAAATTGTGTTCACTTTTATTGCCTCATTTTGGTCCTATTGCATGTCATTTTAGAGGCAGATAACTGTATGCCAGACAGATTCTAACTAGTTTTTTTTAATAGTAGCCTTCCCAAATTGGCACCCTGAAGTTGTGTTGGATCCCTACTGACACCATTCTCAGTCTGCATGCTTATATTCAAGGGGGGAAAGTGTGTTCTGGAGCTATTAAGAAAAGTCTATTATAACCCCTGCACTTTGCAAATTGATTACTTGTGGACTCTTCTGATTCTATGAGTCTTTCTAGAAACAGATAGCCAATATGGACATGTCCTATTATGAAAGGTGGAATCCTTAAGATGACACAGATTGATTTCTGGCTGAGCTTCATGCCATCATAATCTGGGGTTCCTTTCTAACTACAGAATAGTCAGATATACAGAATATCTTAAGAATATTCAAAATATATTAACTGTCTGAAAATAACACTCTCTATAACTTAGATAGCCCCCATATAAGGCTTGACATACCCAAACAATATTTTGAAGCAGTGAACAAAAAAATTAAAAGCCAAAACAATTATTAAAATGCAAGAAAACAGTTATGCACACAGATAGTACAATGTTGTTCAGCGTAAAATGAAACTTTTGAGGGTTATTGGGGCAACTAATGATTATCTTAGTACTTGGTTGGGAGATTGCCAACTAATATCAGGTACTGCAGGTTATATTTCAGAGGAAGAAACTGCCAACACCACCTCTGATTACTCCTTGCCTAAGAAAACCCTATTAAATGCTGGCGTCACCATAAGCCAACAGGCAACTTGAAGGCACATATAGGCACGCATGATGTATCAAAACAGATTCATTATTGCGCCATTCTTGCCACAGTGAAGTACTGGTGAGTAAGACTCACAGTCACCTGAGCTCAAGAGTCATTCTAGTTGGCATAACACAGGTGTCATGTTCTCTGGCATAGTGCAAATACATCTTAAGAAAAAGGTGAAAGACTCTTCACCTGCTTTTTTTTTTTTTTGTCATGTCAGGAGCAACTTGAGAAACTGCAAGTCGCTTCTGGTGTAAGAGAATTGGCCGTCTGCAAGGACGTTGCCAGGGGACGCCCGGATGATTTGATGTTTTTACTATCCTTGTGGGAGGCTTCTCTCATGTCCCCACATGAGGAGCTGGAGCTGATAGAGGGAGCTCATCTGCCTCTCCCCAGATTCAAACCTGAGACCTGTCGGTCTTCAGTCCTGCCGGCACAGGGGTTTAACCCACTGCGCCACCGGGCTGTTTCTATAACCAAAGAATACTCTACCAACTACTCGAGAGTGCAACACCCTTCATTATGAGCCTGGCATACACATGGCTGTGTGCCCCACCTACTTCCTCAAACACTGACGCTTTGCCTGTTCCACACCTTCCCCAAATTTCAAAAAGGAGACACAATTTACTTTTATGTAACATATGGCTGTTTTCTTTAGCTTTCTATTTCTCCAGCCTCACCCATGCTGGCTCAGCATCGATACAGGAAGAGACATGTTCTGTTACTGCACTAGAATAACTGAACTAGGATTCCCCCTTTTCTTTGGAAATATCCCCGCAAAAGACAGTGGAAACGCCAAATAGGTGGGGTTTGGCTCTGGGGGAAAATGCTAGCTAGGATAAGGAGGGTTGAGCCTTGTTACAAACCAGCTAGGATGTAGGGGTGAAAGATGCAGCCTTATGACAACTGAAGACCTGCAAAGCTCTGTGTTTTGTGAAATTAAAAAATATTTCTGGTTTTTTTTTTAGTCCTTCAGGTGTCAAATGGTTTGAACATGGTACAAAATACAGCATATAAGATGTAGGCCTTCCCTACATCTTATATGCCCCTAGATGTTAAAAAAGGTAAAAATGACTTTAAAATGTAACTGGATGTGCGTCCACACTGTATGTTTTTGTAAGTTTTCTGTTGTTACTCTCCATTATTTTGTATGATTTGATTGTGTCTGTATATACTTTGAGGCATTGAATGTTTGCTTTTTATGTATAAACCACCTTGAGTCCTTCTGGGGAGAGAGGGCGGTCTAGAAATACATGATGATGATGATTATATGCAATTTGACTCTACTTTAACAGCCATGGCTCATTGCTACAGAATCATAGCAGTTCTAGTTTTGTGAGGAATCAGCACTATTCGGCAGAGAAGCCTAAAACCCTTGGAAAAGTACAACTTCCAGGATTCCACAGCACAGGGGCCAATTTATGTTACTGTTAATCCACTATGTGTTTTAGCAGATTTTCAGCAGGAGAAAGCAGAACATAATGTAGAAATTGTCTCCTCCCTTTCTGATGGAGGAAAAATATTCAATCAAAGTGGCACATTCTCATTGGTGTTAGTTAAAGTAGAGAAACTTTGTTCAAACTGGTGGTCTCCAGATGGATTAGGATAGTTACGGAGGATGGGACCTGTAAGCCAAAAGACATGGAGTGCCTCATGCTGGAGAAGACTGAGGTAGAAGAACTGAAGAAAACAGCAGCAGTTTTCATACTCATTCAGAATATGAAATAACTATGAAACTTCAGAGAAGGAACAACACTCCCGAAAACACTTCAGATACAGAGCAACAACCCACTGTGCTTAAGAGACTAAGTTTCAAAGAATTAAAAGATTCATGTGGTTGTTCTGGACAATTTCACCACGCAGGACTTTCCTGGTCAGTCTCCTGAGGTGTGCCATAATGTCCTAGCTGGTACATAGTGTCCTCTGTTGACAAGGAAGTGGCTTGTCAGTGTGCAGCTTTGCATAAAAGAACACAAGGAAAGGAGGAAAAGCCCTCCTGATGGTCACACTTTTCATTTAACTCTTTTCACATTTTCTGTCAGCTAGTTCCCATTAGACTGTTCTGGGACAGGGACCAAGTGGGGAAAAATCATACAGCATGTGCATCATGTGTGTGGTTACAGTATTCTTGGGTGGCAGCTCACTGCTGACGAAGGGGCCCCACCATAGATCTAGAGATTTGTTCTACTAGAAAGTGGTTCTTAATCTTTGTGTTTTTTGAGTGTCTGGCACAGACCTCCATATGTTGTCACCTGGCTGTCCAAACTAAATGAATCTTAAGAATTAAAAAGATTGTTTCCTGCTACAATTTTCAATATAGCATGTAGGAAATGGAAGGGGTGGGGTTATGCCTTATTTATGAATCTTCCCTACAGCCCATTCATGGACTTCCTGGAATTAAAAAGCCATTCCCCATTTTTAAAAGCCCCAACTGTGGAAAGGGTCAGTCTGGAGCAGATCACATATGGAGCATTTAACGCTTTCAATCTCTCTCTGCCCAAAACCTCACTCCTGCCCCAACAGCTTTGTGCCATATGGGCAAAAAGATACAGGTGCCCCTGTATGTCTTTTCCTGTTGATCAAAAGAGATTGGAAGTGTGGATAGGATGGTTAAGTGATCTTTCATTGCCACAAGATTTTGGCTATATCCAATAATCTCTTACCATTGCAAAGGCAGACACAACACTTTATTGAAAGCAACACACACACACACATTCCTTTGCTTGAGAATCCCATACATAAAAGCTGTGTCCCATTCTAGAGGGGGAGTCGTATGTATATAAAGTGATAGATTGCTTGCCTCTTCCATGGCTGAATGTTAGAATACAAGCCCCCAGGGCCTTATTTTTTGTTTAGGCGAGTGCAATTAAACTTGCTGCTTTATTTTGCTTTCTTCCTGGATAGATCTCTACCTACCTACCTACCTTCATTCTTATCTAGAAAATATTACCAGAAAATGATGAAAAGCATAGCCGAATCATAACACCCAAGTAACTAACTAAGTTCTGCAACATTTCCTTTTTTCCTAATGTAAAGGATTTTTTTTTTTTTTTGGAAAATATTTACTTACAGATTTCTTGTTGCTGTCTGGGAAAGACCTCTTATCTTCAGCTCCCACAATTTCAAATTCAGATGAAGACCCCTATGGATGCATTTTCAAAAGTAAAAAAAGAAGTCAAATAGAGCAGGAATTGGGTAATTAATTTGCTTTACCCTGTTTAACCTTATTGTTTTTATTTTATTTAGGCTATCTGTGCTGAGAGAGAGGAATACAGTTGCTGAGAACCAGATAAATAACATACAAACTGTAAAAATGTGTTGCAGTACGTTATCACTTCCTAATAGAAGTGCATGCCATCAGCCATGCCCTCCTTCAATGGTATTATAAAGCAGAGATGGAGATCACTGTGGCTCTTGTCACTTTTGCATGCCCAAGAGTTGTCCTCACATCATACTGAAAAACTTACTTTCCTGACTGAAGGTCTGGGGATTGGGTACAATTCTAAACCAATAGCAATCTACTCCACCGCTTTGTTTTACCATAAATCCTTGGTGTGGAGAAAAACCTAAGCTGAATTTAAAAGCAAAACAAATATAGTTTCCTAGTTACTTCTGATTTGATTGGAAGGTTAGTGGGTATGTAGAAAAGAATCAACAAATTTTCCAAAGTTTCTTATATAAGCTGTAAGAGGATCAAGATGTTCTATCTTCTCTCTTCCATTTCCTCTTTCTAGTTTTTTCCCCAGTTTTCCCCAAATTGACAATCCAGATTTCCATGACACATGTAACTAATCCCACAGTGATCTCCATCACTGCTTTATGACTGTATTCTCAATTCGCTTCTGACACTATAAATAAATGTAATTAATCAAACCTCACTAAGCTGTTTTGATGTGTTTTCTTTGAAATTGTGACTACTGGAATCCTTGAAATTTCCCTAAGGTATGATAAAAGCTCTCCTCATTTCTGAATGGCTATGTTTTGGTTACAAACCTTCCAGTGAGGGGCACTTTTTAGCGAAATTGACAGTCTGACCTTTTCCTGTGACATCAACAGATTAGATGCAACCATGACCCAGCAGAATAGTGACTTTTTATTGACTCATCATTCATAGACTTATAGAATAACAGAGTTGGAAGAGAGTACATGGGCCATCTAGTCCAACCCCCTACCATACAGGAAAAGCACAATCAAAGTACTCCTGACAGATTCTTATGTTTGAAGGCTGTTTTGCAATATTGACCCTTCTATGCCTATTGGACATGCTGTACATATGAAAGAATCATATGAGAACATGCAACCTCTGTTGAACTGTCTTCAATACTCAAAACCACAACTGGAATTTGTGTGATGATCTTAAGGTAGTTGCTATTCTACTGGATCTGCAGCTTGGTTACACGAAGTACTGCTGTTTCCTTTGTGAGTGGGACAGTCAAGCAAGAGATTTGGGTGTTATCACAAAAGGCTGGCCTCCCTGCAATAAACTGGTTCCATGGCAGAAGATTGTCACACATAACCCTTTGGTTGATCCAAAGAAAATATTTCTTCCACCTTTACACATCAAACTTGGGCTAATGAAAAACTTCATTAAGGCAAGGAAAAAGCAAAGTGAAGCCTTAATTTATTTCTGACAGATGTTTCCATGCATAAGTGATGCAAAGATAAAAGAAGGTGTTTTCATTGGACCACAAATCTGAGATGTGATGAAGGACAGCCACTTTGATGGTCTTCTACAGGATGCAGAACATGTTGTGTGGACCACCTTCAAGAATGTTGAAAGCCTGGTTGAAGCATATAAATCAATGAAGTGTTACATGTCACTGAAGATACGTTATCTTAATTCCCACTTGGACTTCTTTCCAGACAGCCTGGGTGCTGTGAGTGACGAACATGGTGAAAGGTTTCATCAGGGCACATTGCCAACATGAAGAAATGATATCAGGGCAAGTGGAATCCCTCTATTATTATTGTTGTACTCTTGTCCACAAAGTGTCAAATATTGATTACAAATGAAAATCTGTGTCAAAACATTTTTAATTTTGTTTCCTGATGACACCATGACTGCCATAGTGTATGCTGCTATAGACATATAGCAATGACAATTCACAGCAACCCATATAGCAATGCTTAGGGTGTATCGCCTTTTTCTGGGCAACAGTATGTGCTACATACATAATAAAAACATAGTTGTTTTCAGTATGTTAAAATCTACTTGGTTCATGCAAAATTGTGCAGGAAACAAAACATTCCCAGAATTTTGTTGACCAGTGTTATCAGAACATTGGAACAGTTCAAAGGTTAATTGCTCATTAAAACTGTTCATTAGCTGCTCATTAAAACTGCTCAAGTAGCCAGTAGCAAATCTGCACTGTAAAGACTTTCTTCCAAAGAAATGGTTACAGTAAAAATCATAATCCTAAAAATCTAGTTGTTTGGTGGGAAAAAAGTTCTGTTTCCTGCCTCCTTCCCCACCCTTTTAGCATTCAGCATCCAGCGTGCCATAGTGATTTGAACATTAGACTATGATTCTGGAGACCAGAGTTCAATCCCTCACTCAGAAACAGAAATCCATTGGGTAATCATGGCTGAGTTACATACTCTCAGGCTCATGACAGGTTTGCCTAAGGATTGCTGTAAGTTAGAAAAGACTTGAACACAACAAAAAAAATTGCATACTCATTGCATGCAGGCTGCTTGTTTTAAAATGTCAGTGGATCCTACATATGCTCAATAGGTATTGCAACTTCATATTTTTGGGCTTTGTGAAATATATTTTGAATTTCTCTTAAACTTTTTAAAAAATCCTTAAATGAGATTTCTTACACTGGAAGACGGCTTCGGTGTGACTTTTCCCATGTCCTTCTGATTTTCACCTGGAACGTCAGAGGACGAACAAAGGTCTGGGATCTCTCCTGAAAAGAAAGGCACTTCAGTCAAGGTTTATTTCTATTTATATGCCATCTTTCTATGTTTAAACACACTTTCTTCTCATCTCAGATAAATTAGCAGCAAAAAGACAAAGGCAAAATACTTCTATTGTGAAAATTAATTAACATAGAAGAAATCTACATACACTGCCTTAAGCTCAACAGATGAAAGACAAGACAAGGAAGAAACTATCATAAGCAAATACATAAATGGAAAGGAAATGGACAGCAGAAAGATTGGGAACAATCGATGGTGCAGGAGGGTGATCTATGTCACAGGAAATAGATTCTGGGTTATTTCCGGCAGAAAACTCAACACTATTGGCTTATCTTTACTCAACTGACTTCATTAGATATCGTTAAAACAAATTCATAGCAAATATAAACAAATTAATACATCTACATGTTTAAAATCACAGTATCTGCCCTCTTTTTGTCTTGCTTGGATTGGTTCATAAATACTCTAATGGTATCAGATCCTGTCTGATCTTGGAAGCTATGCATTAAAGCACTTGTGATTATTTGTATGGGTGACCACTAACAAATACTAGGTGCTGTAGTCTATATTTAAGAGAAGCGACAGGAAAATCTTGTAAAATTAATGGGGTTGCCATAAGTCAACAGATAACTTGAAGGCACACATAATATATGCTCATATACAAACATCTCAAGAAAACTAACATTGTGCAATAATCTGAATCTTGCACTAGATCTCCAGGATATGAAGATGAGGATGTGAATCTCCACTCAGTTATGGAAACTTCACTGGGTGACCTTGGGCAAATCACACATTAAGAGGAGAGCAATGGCAAAATCCCTCTCAACAAATCTTGCTGAGAAAACCCTGTGACAAGTATGTCTTGGGGTCATCATACGTCAGATCAAGATTTGGTCTCAGGGGCAGAGTTCAAGTAATCTTTAGTGCGGGATGAAATTATGTGTGACTGCCTTCTGATCAGCGTCAGCTGGAATTTCCCCCTTTACTCCTCAGCTCAGCACACTGTAAAACTGAAAGATCAAAATCACTCCTCAGCTTTTCCATTTGCAGTCCATTTAACTCTCACAGAGGGACGCTCCTCACATTAATTTTTTTAAAACACACATTAAACACACACATCATGAACAAACAGTCACATTTTCAGAGTTATCCTCACAGGTTTCCTAACTGAATCTATAACGCATATCAAAAGTAATTTTCACCTGCATGGACTTCTGTATCTACATGACTGGTATGCGCACTTTCATTTGCTGCCTGACAAACAGTGTGGCTCTTTGGTAAGCTTTCATTTGAAGTAGTTTGTTCAACAGGATTCCCTATTACCTACAGTTTCACACATCCACACAAAGTTCTGAAACATATCCTCTATGGATACAGAGATCATACTGTACTCCCTTTAACCAAGTTCCTATTTCACTGTATCATTAAAGAGCTGTGTTCAGGTCACCTGGTACCTCAGCCAGAAAATCCAAAGGACTGACCATTTGCTTCCCTGTTGTTTTTTGTGTGAAGTATGTGTGGAATGCTTTGCTTTTCTATGGGGACAGACACAGTAATTCTAAGTCTTCTCCAGAGCTTGGAAGACATCTGGAAAAGACAAGTTTTAAAATAACTTTTAAAGAAAGCCCTTTCTAACATTCCGGGAGGCATAGTCCACAATATTGCTCTTCTGCGGACTTTGCATTTTGTTTTATTTAATGTATGGTCACCATGGCTACCCCTGAATAAATGAATACATCCACACACAACATGCATACAACACTCAAACACATACATATTTATACTTACATATACAGTGTCTGAAGATATTGGAGTTAGCTGCAACAGAGGAATCCGACACAAGATGGAAGAAAGGACTGAGACTTTACTCTTTGAGTTTCTACCTCTAACAAAGGTAAACGTTTTGGAACTGTTTTATTATCCCGGCGGAAGTCAGAAGGGGGATAGCCCATTTTACGGCGGCGGGGGAGGGGTGGGATTTGGATGAGTTGAACTATTTCCCCATGATTTTCTATGCTTATATTGCTTTGTTAATTTTATGTTTATGTTGTTTACTCTGTATGTATTGATGATGTTACTTGATGACTGAATGACAATGGAGAGACGAACTTGCCCTTGGACTGAATGTGATTTCAAGCACTATGACAACTGTTGTGATAGTCTAATGGTAGATTCCTCCTGTAAAGAGAATGACCTCCCCTTAATTCCCTAGGAAAACTTGTTTTATTTAGGAATGCATTTAGCTTACCTTCAGAAGAAAGAAAACTGGACAGTGGAGCTTGATAGCTTTTTAACTGGAGAGATTAAATATGAAACCTAGTCCTTCTGTGTGCAAAATATTTATTCTGCAGATATGGCTACAATCTCCATCTCAAATTGCTGTCTTCTTGCCAGTGGAGAGAGCTATCAACTACATAGAAAACATCATGGTACAACTAGCTTTATTTGTTCTAAGCAGAGCTCAAAAAAGTTTAGGGGTTATTTTTAGACACTGCCCCTCCCAACCCAGCATATCCATGGGAACTGTAGTGCAAGAAAGCAATGTTTTCAACCTCTGCTTAGAATAAACAAAAATAAGACTATGCGCAAGGTTTCTGCTAGATTTCCAGCTATGAAATACTGTTATTCTTATGGACACAGTATATCTATTTAAGAATTGTCTTTCAGCACAGCCTTGACAGACAAAAGGCATGGTTGTCCATATCCCTGCACTCCATGCACTTTCAATTCTTCATTAGCCCAAATATGAAAATGCTTAGATTTCAATTAACATTCTAAGTATAGGTTGAGTATCTGGCTCACAAAGAAACACACATTGTCAAAGTCTTATCAGATGCTCACGAGTTGTGCTTACCTGCTATTTCTGCAAGTTTGTCAAGAGAAGAGGTTGATCTGAGAATGTCATTGTCCTGCACTAAATCCTCCACTTTCTGTCTCAATCTGGATGCTTCTAACTGAGATTCTTCCAACAGCTCCCCTGGAAAACAACAAAAGCATGACTTGGTATACAACCTTTTTTTCCAACTGTCAGATTCATGAACTTCACAAAACACTTGTCTTAAACTTACAGAATTTCAGTTCTAATGCTACTTTATACACATACAGTTTTCTTTCCTATGAAGAATGCCAAGTGCACTGAATTAAGCTCTAAAATATGCAAGGCTTCTTCAGAAAAACAATTATTTTACAAGTAAAGTAATTCTTAATGTTATGTTTCTTATTTTAAACTAAACACAATCCCAGAAGTTCTAGGAAGGAAAAACACTGAAAGTGAACACATTAAGTTACTCAGTGGCGTTCCCAAAGCTGCAGGATGACTGTGCATAATTTTCTCACTGGAAATTTTAGATTTTTTCTTACTACAAATTTCTGGAGCAGCCTAGCCATGCCGTTTGGGGAAATCTTGACGTTGGTCCAGAATATAATATTTCCAAGTTTTGAAAGTCCAATGCTTAATATGAGCAGAGCTGTTGAAATGTCATCTTCTACTGATGCTAATGGCTTTAGTAACTAGGCTACAGAAGAAGCAGCATGTTCCAATCGGGATTCAGGCAGCTCTCAGAAAAATGCTTAGGCTACAATTAATTGTACTGCATTAGTAAAAACAAATCCCCTGCTTTGTGCTGATGCTTCATGTCAGTGCTGTTCCTTGCATCTCAAAAGGTCTCGCATTCACATATCTGCAGTGTATGCCCCAGTACTAATATACTTCAAGTGAGGAGTGAAGATAATTCTCCCTAAGCTATTACTGTATTTACTCGATTATAATGCTCACCTTTTAGGCTAAACCACCTTGCCAAAATTAGGGTGCACATGAGATTTGTGTAATATGGTAATCTTAGTGCTAAGCCAAAGCAATAGGGGAAGCTGCTTCAGGAGCACCTGAACCTCCTATTTGAGGGATGTCATCTGTAATTTAATAATCATAGCTCAGTGCTATGTAAACCTAGGACTTGCAGTTTGGTGAGGCATCTGCATTATTTGGCAGAGAAGACTCAAGCCCTTGTCAAACTACTTATGCATCCCCCATGACTCCATAGCATTCAACCAAGGCAGTTAAAGTGGATCCATTCTACAGCACAGATGCACTCCCAAGATTTTCTTTTCCATTGCTGAAAGCTTTGGTGCTCCGACACTTTTGTTTTTTAAAGGAGGAATTATAAGTATGCAGCTACTGTAATGCGCACTTTTTTTTGGCCAAATTACAAAGAGTTCATTTTTTGGGATTATGCAAATACTCTTCTTTTTTTTTTGTTTCAGTTTTGAAAATTGAAGTGTGTACTAGATTCAATGCTGCATTAGACTCAAGTAAACACAGGTAGAATTCCTTTTTTTCTTTCTATTTATTTACATGTTGATCTTCGTATGAAAACCAACCTACAAGGATCAGTCCTGACTGATGCAAAAATAGCTTGCCCCCCACGGAAGATCATATGCTGCAATAAGTTAATTTTCAGGGTATACCTGTTATTGATGGATTTAATGCTAAGAATTAAAATGCAAATTTCTTGCAATTTGTCACAACCAAAGGCAATTGGCAATAATCCATTTTCATTTTGTCCTCACCATTACCTAGAGACTTCATGCCTTGCATCTTCTCTTTCAGCCTGATGTTTTCTTCTAGAAGCTCCTTAAGGGCAGCAGATTCTTCCTCTTTTGTCCCCCCACCAGGGTCATAGATACGATAAGGCCCCTTGCCTTCCATGGCTGCTCAATTATTTGATTTCCAGACAGCGGTACCTGAAACAAAGGGTCAGAAGGTTAGCATTTCCAAAGCAAGCCACTTAAGACTGTGAGAACACTGGAAACGTCTGATGTAGGTCTTTCTTTCCAAGCATACAGAGCCTATAGTTTTCATATCTAAAGAAACCGGTACAGGCATAACTCTTTTTAATTTATTAATTAACAGATCAGAAATATACAGTCCAATTATGTACATTGTGTCCACCTTGGTTGCAAACTGCCACCTGCTCTTTTCTTAAACATATATGGAAACGTAACCAATAAATAGGAAAATTATTCTCAGTCCAACTAACTTCTCAGAGTCCTACTATCTTCATAGGCACAGATGGCAGTGAAATGGGGTAAGGCCTTCTTGGCGGTTGTCCCCAGGTTCTGGAACTGCTTTGGTCAGAATGGTCCCTTCTTTACTATCCTTCCATTGAAATGCAAAGATTTATTTTATTCTGACAAGCTCTTAGAAATTCAACTTTTAAAAGAAAGGGCTCTTAAGAAGCTGTTGCTTTATTCTTGTAACTTTTTTAAAAAGCTTTTTTTCCCTTTCAAAGATACTGTATTTCATTGCAAAATGAAATACAAAAAAAAAGGGGGGGGGGTGCAACAACTGTGGTATGTTTTAAATTGTTTTCATATTATGAGTTGTTAAATTATATTTTAATATTTATCTGTAACAGTAGCTAACCATGGTTAAAATAATGGGTAGAATATTGCTTTACTAATAACCAGTGAGATGCATATTCTTCTGGGACCTTGTTTCTGGCATCATGAAATCAGTTAATCTGAAATGTAGTGTTTGAGGAGATCAGTGCTACATATGCTGCAAAATGTCAATAAATGAGTCCTAGGACAAATGGAACCTAAACTTCCCTTACAAGTCAAAATGTTTGAAGTAGGGCAATCAGACCTTGGCCGTATTGTGAGATGATATGGTCCATTAGAAAAGATCATAATGCTTGATAAAGTGAGAAGAATTTTTTTTTTTAAAAAAAAGAGGAATACTATATTAATCATGGATGAACTCTACCAACGGAGCTGCAGTCCTGAGTTTGCAGCAAGGCTGTTGATGATGGTGTTTGCCTCTACAACCCCTCATAGACCTAACTTATACTTCCTGACACATTAAACATGGTTTGTGTTACTTCTGCTTGCCACTTTGAGATGATTTGGGGCCAAATAAGATGTTTGGGGACATGAGGCAAACCACCACATTGGTGAATGGTTTGAAGGATTTTGGTGAAGGAAATGCTTGGAAATTGTGTTGATTTCTTTTTAATGGGGAACACAAGAGAGCATAGAGGCTGCAAGACTGGGATTTGGGGACCACATGTAACCCATGAACCCATGGGCCACCCTTTTAAAAAAAATCCTTGATGTAGTCCTAGCTAATTGGCTCTGTGATATCCCATCCACTCTTTGACTGGGATCACAAAGTCAGAGAAGTAGCTGAGGAGCGCTAACAGATAATGGAAACAAAGACAGCGAGCAGGGATAAACCAGGTTTTGATTTGGCAGATAAATAAAAAATACAAAAAAAAAAAAGGAAAATGAACTTTTCCTCACTTTTCTTTTCACCCTTTTTGAAAACACACTTTCAAAAGGCAATAATTCACTGCGACTCTTCATTTTTTAAGCCTTAAGGGAAAACAGATTTTATAAAAGTGCCAGAAGTTTTATTACACTTGAACTGTAGCAAAAGGTCACAACTTTCTTTGCTTACAATGAGCCTCCCGTATCAGGAAAATGAGTTGTGAGACATTCAAATGATAATAGTGGTATTTTTTTATATATATAAAACGAGATAGTGGCTCATGATCATCCTTGTCCTCCACAGTCATGACAATGGGGTAATGTCTCCTACAGAAAGTCTCTCCCCCCGCCCCTCAAGAAAAACCTTTCTTAGACACTAGAAACCATAACCAAACAGAATACAAGTGTGAACTTTCCTATATCTGATCTTGTCCCAGTTTTCTCACACCACATTAGTTGTATACAGCTGATCGTTTCTTCAAAGCTGTAAGAGAGAATCATGTAGCCCTCCAGATACAACTCACAGCAGCTCTAGCCAGTGTATTCATAAATTTGGGGAGATAATAATCATCATCATCATCATCTTTATTTCTACCCCGCCACCATGTCCCCAATGGGGACTCAGGGTGGCTTACATGAGTTGAAGTTCAACAAGATCTAGGAAACCTCACAAATTCCATTCCTGGTGAAAAAACAATGGTAGTTAATTCCCCAGCCCTGGTGATTAATTCAGTTTTACTATGGAGGGAGCTTTGATGCATTTTCTTTATTTTTCATATTTACAGTCAAGTGCCTTACAAATGACTTTAGTAGTGCCATTGATTAAATAGATCAATTGACAGTCATATCAGTTTTAAAGAGGGAGCCTGCAGCAGTAAGAGGACAGTCCTGCCATTTTTTTCTTAGAAGAGAAAAAGATTAATTGAACAGGAAAAGCATATTCCATCTAATTACAGAGGGCAAAAACACTTAGGGTGGAAGCAGAGCAGCTTACTATGATGGACCCATGATGAGGAACAGAAGTATTTTACTTTATTTTTTCTCTCCTACCTTTTTTCAAAGGACAGTATGTGATATGCATTTTATTTTACTTTAAAGTAAAGTATTTTACTTTATTTTTTCTCTCCTACCTTTTTTCAAAGGGCAGTATGTGATATGCATATATACAAATAAGCATGCACACTACCACACAGAGAGAAATGGTACAAGATATAGAACAAATACTAAACTGCTTAGGGCATATATAGAAAGGGAAGCATAGTGTTGAGACTCAGCGTCTGTCTCATGCACCTACTACTAGTAGTAGAAGGGTTTAACTCCTACAGTGCCGTTTGTGTTGCTGACTGGTCTGGGTCTTGACACATAGGGTGGGTAGCCCTTATCCAAAATGTTTAGGATCAGAAGTACTTTGGATTTCAATTTTTTCCATATTTTGGAATAACAGTATACACATAAGGAGATATCTTAAAACTAGACCCAAGTCTAAACATTAAATCCATTTATTGGTGTGTGTCGTATATGTATAATACAAAATATATTAATAATGTGCATGAAACAAAATGTGTGTACACTGAACCATCAGAAAGGGAAAATGTCACTATCTTCATTACCCATGTGGAAAATTTTGGAGGATTTCAGAAATCTGGATAAGGGATATTTCACACCAAAACAAAGAACTTGTAATTAATTTAAAAAAATTATGCTATTGGACTTTGTCTTCATTTCCTTTCTGGTCTTTGGAGAGATTGGAACTCTATGAAAACCATGGAGGAAATACGAGAAACAAAGATATGAGCTTAACGATGCTGCAGTGCAATGAATCCTTCAAGAATGATCTGGAAAGTTCTCAACCTGGAGACTGCCTGTATATGAAACCCAGGCTGGACAATGTATGGCCCTTCAAGTGTTGCATTATTCTTTTCCACTAGTTATGCTGGCTCAAGCTGATGGGAACTCTGGTTCAATCACATATAAAAGTCAACCAATTGCTCCCACCCCATATACGCTATAAGCAATTGATGTTGAAGAACTGCCTCACCAATTGAACCTCCCATGATGAACTAGGGCTTGGAAAGATTCCATTTTTTGAATGAAAACATCCAGAATTCCCCAATTGGCAAGCTGTGAGATGAATAATTTAACAATTTCACAAACAACTTCTCTATTAGCTAAAAAATTCCCAGGCTCTGCTTATTCTTACTTTGGAAAAGACACACCACAGCACAAAGGCAAACTTTATTCTTGGAAGCTGTATAAAGTATTCACTCATCTCACAGATGTGCGATAAGCCAGAGCTAGGAGGAGAATCAGAAAACATTGTGGATGGAACTCCTGCTGTCACTTGCTTCTAGAGAGATATTCCATGGCCCAACCACAGCTGGAACACGGACTCATTATTCGTTTGTCAAGTCTCAGATCATAAAGTACTAGCATAGTTCAAGCAACTAGATCTGGTTCATCCCTCAACAGGTACCAACAGCTGAGGCTGTATTTTTACATCCACGCATGTGAGTGTTTCATCTGAAGTGCAACTTCCCTGGCTCTGGGTCTGGTATTTTAGCAAGCAAATTCTTCTCCTAAAAGATGGAGATGAAGGACTGGAAAAAATCTGAAGTCACTGACTGATACCTCTGTACAGTGAAAACATAAGTACAGTGCAGAGATGCTCTGAGAAGAACAAGATATCCTTGCATTTGAGCTGGAGTGGAGGCACTGATGGAGAAAAATACTGAAGTGCTCATCCCATCATATAAAAGAGAAGCAGAATCAGATCTACTCACTATCAGGTTATGGAATTCACAGCCGGAATGATTATACTTATGTTAAATCAGGAATTGGTCTTATTTACTATTAAATTATCCAATAAAGGTTGTTAGCCACATTTCCAAAAAAGGGAACATTCCTAGTATATACCATACTGGCACCAAGTAGGACAGGCTTGGTGACTTCCTCACCCCACCCAATCCCACTGACATATCCACTGACATCTACTCTGTGAGAGGGAAAAGAAGAAACCAAGACAGCAAGTTAAAATAACATTACAAGATGTAGAACTTATTTAAAAGGGGGGAAAACACAGTTTCAGTGCCTTTTTTGGAAATGTGGCTAACAACCTTTACTGGATAATTTAATAGTAAATAAGACCAATTCCTGATTTAACACAAGTATCATCAAGATAATCCAAACAGCAGTAAACATATCACCCATGTCAGAGAGAATAGGGACAGGTGGGCCTCTCAGAAAGCTCCAACTTCAGGAAGACAACACTGCAGGCAAACTCTTCCCATGCAACACAAGCATTTCCCAGTTTGCACAACCTGCCTATATCAGGATTCAGGAATGCTAGGGATTTTCCAGCTCAGAGTTGAAGCTAGACAGGATCCACAAACAGAACATCAATTAGACCTCTGGTGGTTAGGGGAGTGGGGGGAATTTCCCCCCTACAAAGGAGAATTTTAAAACAACTAGCTGTT